AGCTACAAGTTTTGTCATGCAACTTTGCAGTTTCATGAGATGGCAATGTATAGTTTTCCTAAAACAAGTGTCCGAAAATTGATGGTGTACGATCATTGATAATGTACTCTACTTTTAAAGGAAAAATAACTGGCTGATAGTGAAATGTCAATTGCTAACTGTTGCAACAGAAATGGCATCAACAGGAACTCCACTTAACTCTGAAAACTAAAGGAAAAAGTTACATAGCATTATTTTAGAATCACTTCTTCTGTTGGATCAACTAAAAATTGTGATGGACACCATCTTCTAACATACACCTGCATGCATCTGTGTTGGGAGCTTCATCTTTTCAGGTTCTATTAGAGTATGAGAATAATACCCTCATTATTTAAAATACTGACCTTTCAATATTTCCATATACATTTCACTACCAGTATATATATGAATATCTCTCAATCAATTGATGATCAAGATACACTCTACCAGGTGACCTTCAATTCTTCTTTAGTAATCTCTTTCTACACAATAAGTCAAATGATAGTCGCATGATAGCCACATGATGTACTTACTGTCTAATTCAAGGACACAGTCAATTCTTTGTACTCTTGCTTCTTCAATAATTTGTTTCTTAAATTCTCTCACTGGTGTACTGTATTCTTAGCAACAATAGACTCCATCATTAGATTAAAGAGAAGTGAATTAAAATGGGAACAAAATTATATTTATATTATTATAGCAAAATTGCTATTTGCATAACCTCTGTATTGTTAACATGTAATAAAAATAATTTAATTCTGTACTCTCCTACTTGTAATGCCCTATAGCCAGTCTTTCTACAAATTATAAGGAAGAGAAAAGATCATGATTGAGTGGAGTAGAATATTTACTTTTGATTCAGTAGGTACATGCATGTCCATTAATGAGTCAGTATTTTATATTCCTGCTGGTCATATACACCCTATACACTCTAAAACCAGTAGGTAGTTTTCCAAATTGCAAGACTAATATTGCTAATTGGACGCCTTTTCATATTTTGGCAAAACTGAATCCCAGAATGTTTGATTTGTAAAAAAAATATCTTTTTGTTTGAGCAGTCTAGAGCTCTATTTCTTCTTCTAGCAACAGATAAAGTTGCTTTCTTTCATCTAGTAATGCTCTTGTAGCATCCCGTGGCACCAAAAGCTGTGAACTGCTCAGTAAACCACTGAGGGGACCTCTCTCCAGGTGAGAGCTCGTGTTTCACTCTACAGGGCCGAGATTTGCTTCAGAGGTAGAAAATCCCATCTAACGAAAAACAAAAAGAACGATTTTGTCCTAACTTCGTTGTTTGTGAGTTACAGTTGCTCAAAGTTTGTGATTTAGCCCGGCTCTTCGAAAATTTTTCAGGCGGCACTGGGGAAGGCAGGAGCAACCAAACTCTCTCAGTCTCTTTTAAATATCTAGAAAAATTTTCTGTGCCAACTCTTTCTTGGAATAGAGCTTCAGATGCTAAAATAAATTTCAGCTTTTCTTCTTTCTCCTACCCATGTGACATGATTTAGTTAGTTGTTGACCACACCCATAGCTTATTTTAATTATCATTATAACTATGCAGTCCATAATAATAATTTTTTTTCAAATTGCTTAAAATATCACAGTACAAGTAATACATATCACTCAAGTGAATTCCAGCAGGCGAGTCCATTGCACCATAGTGCTTCATTATTAGTATGAATTTGTAAACTGAAAATTCTAAAAAATGAAGAATAGATTAATAAGACTACAGTTACTACTTGGAACTAATGATTAACAATAGAGAAGTAGTCTATGTGGCAGCAAAAATTACAAAAGGTTATGATTAGAATAAATCAATAACTGATTCCCGACTGGCACAGCGTCTAACATCAGTAGAAGTTGGTACAATTTCTCTTCTTTGTTGATCAACAGTTAGATGTGATTCAGTTACATCTAAAAGAGGATCATCATTTTCATCTTGTTTCTTGAGTAACTTCTTAATTAGAGCATCATAACATTTCATATGTGATAACTGCAGGTAAAGGTGATAAACAACAATCAAAATAAAAATAAGAATAAAAAAAGATAAACAAGTATTGTACCAGATCAATACTTTACTGTCATCAGTAAAGGCCACAGATAAAGAAGCCATGATGCACAAAATTAAAAGAAACCAAAATTCTATGATATTGTTTAATTTCTTTCTGTACACACCACCAAAGATAAAACTAAGAGAGAGGATAATAGCTGCTACTGCTAATAGCAAGACACGTGATTCATTCTGCAAAAAGGTGACAATTAAAAGTACTGGTACCCTAGTCACTAGCAGTAGACCAGGCCAGAACCGATACTCATCTTTCATTGGACCACTATAAGCATCAATAATAGGCTTGAAATGATTCCAGCTCTTAAACAGCTTAAAATGTGACAGATACTTCTCAAGTACTGGATGACATAAAAGGAACAGTGTGTATGGTATGACAAAGAAAACAGACACCAATAGGGCAAATCCAAATAGTCCAGCATGCTTCCCTTTAGCATATTCAGCATTAGGATCCTCATACCATAAACTAACTGATCTTACTGATTCATCTGTACAGTGAAGAGTTACCTCACGCTTGTGTAGTACAATAACAATAGTACGTACTAGTTTAGTATATGAGAGAAAAGTAAGTGTAGATAGAACAGAAACAGCGTGAGACCCCATCAGTCTTGATATCTTACCATATCTCCTACACAATTGTATAATGATAATGATAATAATCCATAGGTAGAGAGGGAAAGCAAACTGAAGCCATTGTTTAGCATAACTGTCCATACCATTGTAAAAACATATCTCAAATCCAAAGTCTAAGTTAATCCATGATATCACTTGACTCAAGACTGGTAATGCTCCTTTCCTTGAAAAGACTGGCTCATATAACTTGACAATGTTAGCATAGAACAATAGACCATTGAGTGTACCCACTGATACTGTTAAATTGAGAGCAATCAGTAGAACCACAAGTAGTACACCCATCACTATAAACAGAGCAATCCAAGCTATCATCATGTAATTATTATGACACTGTCCACACTTGTTAGATCCCATTAGTAGACTGTATCCCTCTCTACATGATCCACACATTCTCTGTCCTCTATTATCCACACATTGAGTATCAGTGTCATTCAACTTGAAGGTAACAGAATTAGGAGAACAATAAAGGAGACAGTCTTCATTGATAATGCATGCATTAGGATTGGTTGCATTAGCATTGAAAGGTGTACTGGTATCATATGTTCCAATCCACAGTAGACCATTGTGTGTAATGTCTAGGGTATTTATATTACACGTCACATTCTCTCTTGAAACACTGCAATCACAAACACCTGAACTGTTTACACTGAAACCAATAGGACACTCATTGAGAGTAAATGAAATATGGAATAGCACTTCAAGATTATAAAATGAAACAGTAATGACATTGAGTGTAACATTATTTCTTCCATAGTTAATAAATTTTGGTACGTATTCAATCAGTGAACAATTAATAATGTATTTCTCTAATACAATTGTTCCATTAATTTCTATTGTTATTTTCCCATCTGTAACACTATATGAGTTTAAATCAGAACTGCGTCCAAATAAAGCAACATTATATTTCAGTGGTTGACCTGGAAAAACACTTTGTTGCTCATCACCATTATGCCATATTGGTGTGGTATCATTACTGTTGGGATCACAAAAAGTAAATGCAGTTGCATCACTTGATGTTGAAGAATTTGTCGAGTTAAAAAATTCATAGAAATTACTATAGGCTTGACCATATATATCATTTCCAGCTACTCTAGCAGTATTATCCTTTAATGTAAGAGGCATGGGTGACACTTGTGTAAATGCACTCCTAGTTTTCTCATCCATATAAATTCCTCCTCCTTTATAAGTTGCATGATTACCAATAAACTCCAAGTTAGCTGATGATGATAAGGCCATAATAGATGAACCATTTATTGCCATTCCTCCTCCAACTACTCCAGTATTTTTCTTAAATACTAATCTATTTTCTACTGTTACTACAGAGGCTATGATCACCAGTCCTGTTAATAGACTATTTGTAACAGTAATGTTATTAAGATTAATAGAAACACACCTTTGTATCTCATTTCTCCAGTTTCCAACCAGTTCAGTATTGATAACACTGATATGAACTGCTATTGATAAATGTCCATCAATCAATAAACCATACCTGTCACTGTCACGTATTGAACATGACTTTACAGTAATAGCAATATGATGATCACTCAACTGAAAATAGTCTCTTAATATACCAAAATATAATCCATTAATATTGTTGTGAAATTTGGAGTCTTCAATTAAAATAGTGGATTGTGATTCAACACCTTTTATTTTGCAATATTTTGATTGCTGTGAATGTGTGTCAAAGTCAAAGTAAAATCCAACCCTTGAATTAGATGCTGATGAATTGGTAATATACAGCAAAAAAAGAGTTTCTGCAAAATTATAATGAACTCCATGATTTGATGAACTGATGATATTGACATTATCAAGGATAACTGATATATTATATGAGGTACCATGATCCATATCAAACACCGAGTAGCCATTACTCACAGTAACATTAGTCAGTGTTAATGAGTAATGGTGTAATTCATTGTAACACACTGGAGGTGGATTATATCGAATGATTAGATGTACTTTTTTAAAAACTAAAGATGTTATCTTACTATCAAAAACATTGAGGAGGGTGACATACATGTGCCGGTGTCTCATCAGGTTTTTAAAAATAGAATCAGCAATTGTGATATTATTTGAATATCTAAAATCTATGCGGCAGTGGAATGATATTTTACTGAAACTAATATGACTGCTGGTAGTGATTGCTATAAAGACATTATTTATGCAGTGGATAGTAGGAGACTGATCCAGTCCATGTAGAGTTATATTCTGTACTGAGTCCATTGTGACAGTAAAGTTAATGACACTAGTTCCAATGAAGTAGAAGACGGTGTTATTATATTGAGGCATATTCCCAGCATACACCGATAAAGGATTACAAGGTTTATGAGTAACTGAACTGCAGTCATCAGACACATAATACTGATGAGAGGAGACACTGCAGGAGCTACTGAAGAATAAGAGAACAACCACTAATAGGAGAGACATAGCTACTGTCTGCACTGACTAGTACATTCACTCAGTGTGAGATGATACTAAGCTAAACCCATGGAATTGTTAAAGTAATATATTATTCCAGTAGTGGCTGATATGTATAATTAAATCAGTGTAGTAGTGCAGATTGCTTGATTATAGGTTCATAAATATTTAATCAAGCAATCTGCATTACTACTACTACCAATCTAATTATACTTGTCACTACTACAATAATATAATTTACATTAAGTGTATTAAACAATTCCATAGTTTTAGCTAGTCAGGCAGGCCTGACCTGACTAAGTTTTAGCTTAGTCTCATCTTGTTTACCCTGGAAGGTTAATAAGTAATTTCCTGGGTAGTCGGAGGTTAATAAGTGCATGACCAGGGAGGCTAATAAGTAACCCTGGAATCATTTCATTTGCTGTTATGAGTACTGTACTAATGCATGAGAACATCATCCTCTAAATATGGAAATATAGTGTGATAGCTATATAGTAATAATTTTTAGTAATAATCTCACCATACACAAAATGTTAAATAAAACAGCTGAAATTGAGGAATTAGTGCATTTGTTGCAATCAGTATATGTATTATACAGTGTCTATCTGTATGTCAGTTTAAACAGTACACTCTCGTTACAGAGATATTTGATGACATGTAGTGAGTACTTCACACAATGCTGTATGTTGAGCTGCCCACATTGTGAATAATATGATCCATCTACACTACTAAAAGGATGATAGATGGAGAGGTTTATTATGACATAATTATAATAGAGATAAGATAATGAGAGTGTGACAACATAGAGATCGCAGACTGATAAGTGTAATGTGCAGGGTTTCCCACAGGATTTGGCATAGTATTTCTTGTCAGCAAATTTTAAAATTGCTCAACATTTGGTATGCTATATTAGTACATCATATGTTGCCAAAAGTCATTAGGCAATTTAAATATATTTTTGATGCATATACATGTACTATCGTTAAGAATCAAAATTGGATTTTTTATGAATAGTTAAAGCTGCTTAAAAATTGGGTGAAAGATCATGTACTGTAGTACATGGTCTTTGGCCAAATTTTACCAATAATAAAAAGAAGAAAATTCTCTATTTTTCTGATACATATACATGTTCGTATGTTATGTAAATAGTTTGAACTCATTCCAATCAAATTTGGGTTTGTTCCAAATTTTTTAAGTTGCTAAAAAATTGGACCAAAATCCCTGTACTATAGTACAGAAATTTTTTCCAAATTTCATCAAAAATTAAAAGTAAAAAATTCTCCATTTTAATAAGTTTTCCTGATACGTATAAATGTTCTTCTGTTGAGTATAAAGTTTAAAGTGATTTCTATCAAAATTACATCATTACAAATTTTTAAGTTGCTCAAAAATTTGACCAATGTCCCTGTACTATAGTACATCAGAGAATTTTGCCAAAAATGAAAGGAAAGAATTCTCCACTTTTATATTCATTCTGATACATATACATGTGTTTATATGTTTTAATCAAAATTGGAGTTTAAAGAATTTCAAATTTGCTCAAAAGCATTGTAGCGCTTGTCAGTTAGTATGAAGCATACTGTTTAGTTCACTTAGCTTTGTGGGAAACCCTGTATGGAAGTAAAATTAGTCCTTTTTATAGCTACCAAAAATCTACTAAAATTCTAGGATGACATGTACACGTGCAGTCATGCATGTACTTTAATATTAATGAAAATGTTTTTTTAGAATTTTTATGCTTTTTACTTGTCTGTGTTCATGACTTCATTGACATACTACTAGTACATACTAAGAATTTGTTCATTTATGTACCTGTACTAGCTAGTGTACATGTTTAATGACTAATGTTATTTTCTGTAGCAAGCTCTCCATGACACTGAAATAATAACTTAAAGGAAAAATCAAAGCAAATTTTTTGTTAGTAATTGCTGTGCAACTATTATAATAATGCAACTCTATTTACTTCTCATTTCTCTGGTAGGCAGGCCAGTAAACAAGCCCTCCTTAATATTCAATCGATGTATACAGTCATTCGTCAATGAATAATTAATGGAAATGAAAAAAAGCAAAACAAAAAAATCTAATTAAAGTAGGCTACGTGCTCTATTCATGTAGATTAGAGCATTAACATCTGACATCATAATTTTCAACAACATTAAAGTTATTAACATTTTTGTTCATATAAATGAGTAGTCTACTAACAGCTGTTTTTATTGCTCAACCTGGCCAGTTGGTCTAACAACAATTTCATTGACCTAAGTAACAAACATTGAGAAGTAAATTTTATAATAAATATTGTTATTACCTCCATTCTTGGCGGAGCACTAAGAACAAATACAACAGTACTGGCAATATCATCTGCAGTAAGAGCAGGACCCTACACAGCTACTGTTAGACTATTAATTGTGACATGTTTTATGCTTACATTAGGCACTAGATCATCAACAGATTCTATGGCTTTCTCCATATCATCAGCTTTAAGAAATCTACCCATAAATTCTGTTTTTACTTCTCCTGGTGAAATAGACTGTGAATGAACATTATCAAAATAACACTAAGACTTGAAATACTTAGTTACTTACAGTGGCACGGCAGTTTGATTTCATTTCTCTGAGTTCCTGTCGAACACCTTCAGCAAGAGCAGTCACGGCATATTTTGTTGCACAATAAAAGTGAATGGAGTCTTGTGCTGACACAACATGGCCCATGGTACTACAATAACATATGCATTACATGTACATCATAATAAGTGAGAAAATTTAGCAAAGTATTAATTTTATCTAAATAAGAATTTTCCACAGAGCACACTAAGACTAAGAGAGCTATGCTTCACAAGTATTGCAAGACAGTACATGTACATGGCTTTGGGGCAACTTCAAAAAATTCATTAAAAAATCAATTTTCATTAGAATCAGCTCAAACTTGCTACATAACGTAAAAATTATGTATATGCACAAGAAAAAAATTGTAAAATTTGAAAAATTTTTTCTAGCCATTTTTGGCAAAATTTGGCTCATTATAGTAGAACCAAGGGTAGATAATAATTAGAGGAGAGTGTCCTACTGTGCAATACCCCCCTGCTTCATCATGGCGTAGAATTGAAGAGTCACGTTCCGGTTATTTTCAGTATTTTTGAGTAGTTATTCAATAATAACTAGCAATAACTACTCAAACTCAATGAAAATACGGAAATAACCTGAATGTGACTCTTTAATTTTACGCCGTGATGAAGCAGACCCTATTGCCAGTAGAACACTCTCCTCTAATTATTATCTACTCTTGGTAGAACTTTGGTTCAATTTTTGAGTAACTTTAAAAATTAAAAAAAAATCCAATTTGGTCAAAATCAGCTCAAACATGCTACACAACACTAGAACATGTAAAATGTATTAAAAAAAAAATGAAAATCCTCTCCTAGTCATTTTTGGCATAATTTGTAACATGCTGTAATACTGTAACGTGCTATGTAACTTTTAGGCATGTCAAAAATTTCAGCTTGTTACAGTAATTGCTCTAATCATGATGTATTTTACATTTTTCCCTTTAGCTCATCTAAATAATACCAGTACCTGTTAATGAATATGATATGAGCATCATCTACTCCTCTCTCCTTCACTTGATTCATGAATTCTCTTGTTATGATACAAGGAGCTAATACATTTACCTATGTACACATGATAATCAGAGAAAAAATGATGTAAAGTAGTTCTATTTAATGTATGTTTATAGGTACAGTTTGGACTACAGCATATTGGTAAGAAATTTTAAACCTAACTTTAATTGTCTTTTCTTTTGCTATTAAAGTGCATCATCTTACATCAAGCATGTTCCTCCAGTCTTTAGTATCACCAGTTAATAAAGGAGCGTCATGGCCCAATCCGGCATTATTGACACACACATCAATGCCACCAAACTGATCTTTAGCATAACTAAATATGCTCTTGATATCATCTTCATTAGTAACATCACATTTCATACCAACCAGTTTACCACCACTAGCAGTTGTACCTAGACTATCTGATAATTTCTACAAAAATCATGATCATTTAGCTAAGCTACTAAATACACTAACCTTTATCCTCTCCACATCTCTTGCTGCTCCTAATACTATCATACCACTCTTTACCAGTGATGCAGCAATCCCTGCTCCAATACCAGAGCTAGCCCCTGTTACTAATGCTACCTTACCAGACCAACGCTCCATATTTGGGTGGGTGGGGGCCAGACGCCTTAATTAAAATTATAATTAAAATTAATTAAAATAATTAAAATTAATTACCTTAATTAAAATTAATTACCTTAATTAAAATTAATTACCTTAATTAAAATTAATTATCTATGATTAAAATCATACTACATTAATATTATCTATGACGTAATTAGATCTACCCATAGATTAGCTTTATGCTTTTTCTGAGGCTTTTTCCTATATCTATTTTAGGGCAGTCAAAAAGAAACCGGGGCTGAGTCATATCTCATTGTCAGAGAAAAGCCTACTGAGCTGAAGTGAAGGAGCAGGTAAAATGCATAGTCATAGTAATTCTCCTATCAGTTTGTGATGCTTGCATTAACAGGGCTTTCTAGTATATATCTCTAGAGAGACACAGAAATCTATTCTGTTAAAAATATGTACACTATAGTTTATGGTCTGGCTCCACCGCTCCACGCACTGCAAGACTTTTTATCCCCCCATTATTCCCCACTGTGTATGGTAGTCTATTCACTTCAGTCCCATCTGCAATATCTCGTTTTAAAAGGAGTAGGAATTATAGGTGGTATCAGGTGCATTAAGCTAAAGTTTTCAAAAGCACTATTTTTGTACCATGCTAATTAATTGCACTTGTAGTGCTTGTTAGCTCATGAAGCATGCTGTTTAGCTCACTTAGCATACTGCGAGACTAACTTTGTGGGAAACACTGTATGTGTCTATAGTTAATAGACTGGAAATTAAAATTTGAATGACCTTGTGCAAACACTTTGAATCCATTTAGCCATTATTGTGGTCAAATACTGCATTTTTGTTGATCAGATTCATTTCAAATTTTCTACACAACATAAGAACATGTACAGTATGTGTGTCAGGAAAAAATTAAAGTAAAAAATTCTCTCATATAGCAATTTTTGGCAAAAGACCAAATGCTTTTATATCCTTTGGTTGTTGGCTCCATTTTTTGCATCTTTAAAAAAATTCACAAAAAATCTGGAATTAGCTCAAAGTTGATACACAACAAAAGGACATGTATAGTTATGTATTAGAAAATAACAAAATGAAGAATTCATTTTTATAGCCATTTTAACAAAATTTGGCCAAAGACCAAAGGCTATGGCCATTGGTGCGATCTTTCAGCAACTTTAAAATTCATTAAAAATCCAATTTTGATCAGAATCAGCCAGCTTAAAGCTGATACACAGCATAAAAACATGTATACACATTAAAAAAATTATAAGAATGAAGAAGTTTCTCCTTGTGATTTTGTCAAAATACCCTTGTCCCATTTTTTAAGCAACTTGACAATCAAGCTGCATGAGCACTATGCCAAAATTGCAATCATTTGTAGTTAAAAATTCATTATAAATAGCAATAAACTAAAATGCACATGCAAACACTAATACTAAATTTTTTGAGGTATAGCCTGGAAATATAAAAAAATTATGTATGCATGAATGTCATAATGTACATGCTGTATTTCATTACTACTGGCATATGGGTTATGTAGCACGTATAATTAGTTGGCGGGTTAAAACCTGCCAATTTAGAATACCATACAAGATGATTAATTGGCGGGAGTAATATTTGGAGAATTTGCCTGTAGAAAGTTATTGGCAAATTTTATATTGGCAATTTTGTGCCATGTGCCATAATCTGCCATTGAGCATGCTCAGTTTGAAACAAAATGGCAGATTTTATATTGGCAATTTCTTCATAGAATCGCCAATTGCCAATATTAATTCCTCGCCAATGAATCATCTTGTACGACATGCACCCTCCATTTCCCTCTCACTCCTCTCAAATTCCAGGGGTAAAAAAATTCTGAAAATATACCAGTATTTTCTTTTTATGCATACATTTTTGCACCCCCTTTTATATCTCCGAATTTCATCTCTCTCTCTCTTTTTCCTCTGTTGCCATCACTTTCCTTCTATTCTCAGTTAGAATACATAATCTCAAGTAAATGGTCTCCATGCATCGCTTAATCATCATCACTGGGGGAAGCCTTAATAGAGTCAATGATGAAACTGTCTCATTGAGAGGTGACTACTAGGTAAGGTAAAGAAAGGGAGTGGGATGAAAAGAGAAAAAATTATTGTGGAGTTTTAATTTTCATGATTATTAAAAAAATAAGCCAAAATGGCACTTTGATGGCACCTATTTTAATTTTATTTTATTGTTAAATTTCTATCTTGAAAAATTTATAATGAGTAATTGTAATGAAAAATAATGACTAACGTCATGAAAATAATCACAAATGTGTATCTAGACTCCATGTTTGTAATTCTTTCAATATTTTGTTTATATTTTTTATCTTATTTGTTATCATGTAATGTAAATTGCATAGAAGTAGTAGCTTTGATTTACGCTATATGTGAAAATTTTAACATAGATATAAATTTCTGTGCCAGAATGAAGGCATTATTTTGCCACCATTTAGGAATATTGAAGTATCAGATAAAATTTGTGGAGGTTTAAATTTACTAAGAGGTCTATAATTTGTGAAAGTCATAGTATTTATTGAAATTGAGATTTCTAATTATAATCTACTATCACAACTTCCTTTAGTCACAAGACCTTTGAATATATTTAAGGTGAAACCCACTTTTATAGGGTGTATTTTTTTACCTTCATGACTCTCCTTTTTATTTTGCTGCTTTGTATCTGTCAATAGGATCGACTCCCTTTCACCGCCTTCCTCTACTTTTGTTTTGTCCTACTTCTTATCACTAGCTCTATCTTCAATAAAAACCTTCAACGTTTGTTTCTCTTGCTTTGTTTTCACAATTTTTTTATGGCAACCGAGCCATTTTCATCTTCTTCTGGTCTCCTTGAACTGGAGGAACAACTTACTTGTCCTGTGTGTCTTGACCACTATACCAACCCCAAGACATTACCTTGCCTACATTCATTTTGTCAGTACTGTCTGGAACAATTACCTCTGGATAGGAAGAATGAGACCTATTACCTTTCTTGTCCCACTTGTCGTCATTGTACAGAGTTACCAGAAGAAGGAATGGGAGCATTTCCTGTCACATTCACTCTCAACAACCTCAAAGAGATCTACAATCTAATGAAAAAAGTAGCTGATCCTCAACAGGTCCCTTGTGACAACTGTACTGAAGCTAATACCACTGGATACTGTAAAGACTGCAGAAAGTTCATGTGTGCTGAATGTATCAATATGCACGAGAGATGGGTTGACTTTTCTAACCATCAGCTAACAAATCTAAATGAGGTGACAGCCTCTATTTTTTCTACTTCTCAATTGCTAGCTCCAGCTAAACAGGAGTATTGTCCGATACCAGGTCATGATGAGCTTTTAAAGATTTACTGTGAAACATGTGATAGTGTTATATGTCATGACTGTACTGTGCGTACTCATAAAAACCACGACTATGACTTAGTCTCTGCAAGTTTTACTAAACACTGTCAAGAATTGAAAGGCTCTCTTAATCCATTAAAAGAAAAAGTTGAAGCACTCAAAAAGGTCGTTTCTGCTTTAGCAGAGAGAGAGAACGAGATCAGAGAGAGGGGAAAAGAAGTCTTAGAAGATATACATGTAATGGTTGAGGATATGATAAATGTTCTCTATCAGTCAGAGCAAAAACTGACTGAGCAAGCAAAGAGGATAACTAATGATAAGCTCACAAGGCTTTCAGAACAGATGAAGTCAGCAAAATTGAGTTTGAGTCTGCTGGAGGATGTTAACGATTATGTGGAACAGAGTGTGAAGACAGGCAGTCCTCAACAAGTTCTAAGGTCTAAGAAACAGATGATAGAGCGCATGAATGAAGTTGCACAGATTAATGTGGAAAAGCTGCATCCACAGGAAAAAGCTGACTTTATATTAAGTGAAGATATCAAATCGCTATATCACATTGGAAATATTATTTCAGGCACTCCTGCATTACACCAGTGTAGAGTGAAAAAAATTGATTATATTACACCTACTGGCAAAGCAGTTTCATTTTCACTGTCAATGGAGGCACCAGATTCATCTCTTTTGTCTGTTCCCCTTTCGTCTCTCCAGTGTAGTTTAGTACCAATTGGTAAGGATGATCAACCAATTCACACTACAGTCACTACCACCAACACTGATCCTGGAGTGTATAGGATACAGTGTAGCCCTTCCACTAATGGCACTCATATAGTGAAAGTACAAATATGTGATATATCACTTGAGGATATTTCATTAGTCATCCCTTTCAATCCTTACCTTGATAGCAATACTCCAGTACGTACTATACTGAAGCTTAACCGTCCCTATGGAATTGCTATAAGTGATGATAATCATGTTATAATAACTGAGTATTATAGTGACTGTGTCACAATATTGGATAGGCAAGGAAAAAAAGTGAAATCATTAGGAGGAGAAGGGGGAAAAGGTGACGTTAAGTTTTCCGCTCCTAGAGGTCTAGCTATTACTCCAGACAAATTCATTCTCGTGTCAGACAGTAACAGTATCCAAAAAATAAGCATGGATGGATACTGTATAGCATCAGTTGGTGAGGAGGGCAGTGGACCACTACAATTCAGTGATCCTGATGGTGTAGCCATTTCTCCTGTATCAGGACAGGTTTATATAGCTGATTGGTATAATCATCGTATACAAGTCTTGAATCCTGATCTAACGTTCTCTCATTCATTTGGTAAGAAAGGGTCAGCTAATGGACAGTTCAAGGCTCCACGTGGTATTGCTGTTGACAGTCAAGGATTAGTGTATGTAACTGATGCTAATAATCATCGCATTCAGAAGTTCTCTCCTGATGGAAAGTTTGTGGGTCATTTTGGTTCTAAAGGATCTGGTCCTGGGCAGCTTAATAAGCCAAATGGCATAGCAATAGACACTGCAGCTACTGGTCTAGTGTATGTTAGTGAATGGAGCAACAATTGTCTGTCAGTATTTACTAGAGAGGGGGTTTTTATTTGTAGGTTTGGAAAAGGAGGCAGTGACATTGATCAGTTTAGAGATCCTATTGGATTAACATTTGATAAAAATGGATTTTTATATGTTTGTGATAATGGCAATAACCGAATTGTTGTTTATTAACTTTTCTTTTAATGTCATTGGTGTTGAGGATATTATTTAGCCACTTTTGACAGATTAGATCTACCTGTTATTATTGTATGTACATGTGTATTATTTATTACATATTCATTTTTGTGTAAACAGGAACTTTCTAGATTATTCTCTTAGTCTCTTGATCTTGTGTCTGTATTCTTCTTCTAGAACATTCTGGACATTTTTGCTAGTATATATAAGCACACACATCTCTCTCTCCCATCACCTTATGTTCTTCCATTATTATTATTATTATTCTCCTCATCATTATTAGTGTTGCTTAGTTTTCAAAATCGATTAATTAAATCTTAACAATTGGTGCATCTAGAATGCATTTAGCATAACTTTAAGCAGTTTATTTTGTTTTGATATTACAGTGAAATTTTGTTTCAGTGGTATTTGTTGCCAGCAGTATTTCTGTTATACATTAAAGTGAATGGAATTTAATTTTTACATGTAGGATGTACTTGTATGCTTGATCTGAATTTCTCATTTAGCACAAATGAAGTTACCAAAATTTTCAGATATAAGTATGGATTAATGATAATTATTTTGATAAAAGCCATGCTTGTTGGCCAAATTTTACTTGGCATATGTGCTCTTGGAGCTGTTACTTTAACTTTGTGTGAAGAAAATGAGCATACATTACACATAACTTTGAATATAAAAAAATATTCAGTTATTTTATTTCTACTAACATTTAATTGTTTTGTATTTTTAATTAAATTTTGAATTGAATTTTGTCAGTCACTGAGGCTCAAATTTTTAGGGCCCATAACAAGACTCAAATTCTGAATTTTTTAGAACTAGTTTAATTGAATTAATTATCATAGCTACCTAAACTAGACTCCTATCCAATGACAAAAACATGGCAGTTTATACTCTTTCCTTCTTTCTGGGGCTCCTATACTGCAGCTCTGCTCTATTTTTCAGTGCATTGTTTGATTTTATTGATGCTGATGAAAATGGCACAAAGAATTGAAGATTATTTTGATAAACAGGACATTTTAAACAAATTTAACAACCAGGTAAATAAATAAACAAATAAATTTATTAATGGTAGATCTACATTGACACTTTTAGTACCAACATAAGAAATTTTTGAATAGATTTCGGCCTTCCTGGTTGTCATGGAATCACATCAAAAAGATTGGCCGTATTTTATCTTCTTGTCCATGTTTTCTGTAAAACTGTTTGTGGAGGCAGCAATCAGATATGGAGAATCAAGTAATAATAATAATAATTAGGAGAATATTGTGTGACAAATTTGTGCTAAATTGTGCTTGATTTAATTTTTATGTATTAAGACAGTGCAATGCATTATTGAGCATTTGACATGTAGTGATATGTGTAATCAAATTTTTGCAAGTTTAGTAGAAGTTTTCCAATAGACCATTATTTATTATATACATGCACACTGATATCATTTACATATTTCTCTCTCTCTTTCAGTATTTTTAGCACAAAGAGCAGGTACTTGTCTCAATTACTTCACTCTAGTGGTTGTTCTTGTATACTAATGTATCAGAGCTACACTCATTTCATCAACAAGACTCTCTTTTCTATTTGTACTTGACAAGTTCATTAAACTAGTAGGATTATCCTCTTATCTCTTGTTCATTTTAGGGCACGTTTGCAAACTTTAGTAAGTTATGGAAATAGTCATGTACTGTCTAATCCATTGTTTTTTCTCTAAAAATGGCTCTAAATTACTGCAAATTTTTATTTTATGTTTTGATGTACATTGATGTCCTTATGCTATGTAGAGAATTTGAGCTGAGTTATATGGCCGGTTTTTTTAAATGGGCCAATTAAAAAAATTTTCCTGTACATGCTTCTTTCCAAAAAGTCCAATAGTAGCCTATGTATGTAATGGTGGCAGTGGCCTAATTAAGTCAAAATTTGCCGACATTTCATTTTAAGAAGTTGTTGAGAAAAATTAATATAATAAGCTGCTTCCCCTAGTCACAGCTCAAAAGTAAATATTAATGTATGAATGTATATGTTAATAGAGAAAGGTAATGGTTCTGATGCCATTACGTAGTGTTAAAGATACTGCAGCTGGTTGTAATGGAGATACATTGAATGAACCAGTTCCACCACCTTACGAAAATACATTAAGTTAAGTTTACAGCAATGCCTATATGTACATAAATGCTCCACATTCGTGTGCAGCTTTATGTGTACTGTACAGGATAGGTGTGTGTGTACATTATAATAGGTAAAATCACATTTATATTTATTTTCATCTGCTTTCTTTTTAGAATATTCTTTTAAATTATTGTTTATTTAAACTCAGTTTTTGTTTATTTAAATATACATATGTGAGTGTGTGTGTATACTACTGGATTATACATGTACAGTAGTACATGTACATGTACCGTATAGCGGGTAAATTCGGAGGGGATAAATTTTGGCAAATTGCTAAATTTTGGTAATTGGTGGATTTTAATTTTGGCGAATTTGTGGCCATGTGCCATTAAGCATGCATATAATAGCTCAAAATGGCGGGGTTTTATTTTGGCGAATGGCTATCAAAATGCCAAATTTGTCAAATTTAATCCCCTCAAAAATTATCCGCTATGTATGTGCTCAGTATATGTGTATATAGATGATTTCAATGCTATTATGTCTCGTAATGTGTGTGTGTGTGTGTGTGTTTAGGAGCCTGGTAGTCTCGCTAGCCAGATCATTCCCCAGCCTATAGTTGACTGTAGGCTGGGGAATGGTCTGGCTAGCGAGACTAGGAGCCTGGTCTGCTGCCTACATTTATTATACAATACATGTATCTTTATTTCTCAAATAATTGTCATTGTCTGTGTATGTGTGTGTGTGTACATGTAATGTGAGCAGTGTGTGTGCATCATCATACTGTTATATTTTATTAATTTGTATAAGTAATTATATTGTTTTGTTTAGTAACTATTGTAGTTATTACCTGAGCCTGCACAGCCAGCTCTTATATTCTTTATTCTTTTGTGTGTGTATCCGTTGTCTATCCTTACATGTGCTATTTTAGTTCTGGTTGTGTTCTGTTTTTATTGCTACAAATATAATTCTTTTTAAACTGAGAATTGTTATCGGTCACTATTGTGGTCTGTTCACGCGTTAGTACACAACACATACGATAGAGTGAATGTTATGAAGTGTAGTCACAGGAAAGGCCTAATTCACAGGATTATGCCCTTCTTGTATCTATGGTGTAGTCTTTATAGTAAACTATTAAAGTAATGTCTACATGTATAATTATATTAATAGTATATGAGATCACAACAGGAACTGTATGCCTTACATGGGTGAGAGCTGAGTCAGTGTTTTGGACTTTTACTGTTACAAGAAAATTGAAGATGGCTGAAGCTGTTGCTTGTTTTAGTAAGTCTGTGCTATAAACTACTGTTCCACCTCACGGATCACTCTTCTTTGTATATTTTATCATGTGTTTTATATATAGTGGATGCTTTCAAAGAAGAAATTGATGCCAGAGGACTTACTATTGAGGATTTAAAGGAGCAATGCCCAGAGGATGTACTCCAAAAACTGAGTAGCAGTTTGCATAGTAACTGGGAAGTGGTTGGGTTGTACCTGAATTTATCAAGATCTGACATTAAGGGCATCAAAGTTTACAGCATTAGTGAAGAGGAGAAAAGTCTGAAGGCTTTGGCCAAATGGAAGGAGAAGAGTGGAGATGAGGCTACCTATCATAACCTTATTGAGGCTCTCAATGACAGCAACAGAGTTGATGTCATTAACCAAGTACTGGATTGCCTAAAAGAAAGTTAGTTCCATTGGGCTATATGTAATATATTAATTATTTTTATTTGGGTTTCCTATAGTTATGGACTTGGCTGCAAAACAAAAAGTTGATGAAGAAATTGATCTTCATGGCCTGCAAGAAGAAGATATTCATTACATTTGTGGATGTGGAAAGTGTACGTTGGGCTACATTATTCGAAATGGCTGTCCCAATCCAGTTGCACAGCAAAAATTCCCTTTACTTAATGTAGCCACACGTATGTTTGCACTAGTAGCACGACTGACAAAAGAATCAATGCAGATTGTTATGAAGTTTTCTGGCCTCTTGGGAGAAATTGTAACCTGCCTGGAGTATCGGCAAGATATTAGTGCCAACATTTTAATTTTTTATATTTTATCACGGCAGAGGTTTTCTTACTTATGCCAGCCACAGTACACAGAATTTCAGACTCAGATTCAAAAGGCCGTGACCAAGAGAGAAGTTATGCTGATATTAGTGAATAATATCACATGGTTTAATCACAGTTTGCTCAAATCATTTGTGCAAGAATTTAAAGTGGCCATGAAGCAGTACGATGATTACATTGAAAGCTTGGATTCGTTCCTGGTTCGATCAATTTTCAAAATTCCAAATAAATTTTCCAATGTATCAGGTAGTTGTAATCAGCTATCTCTCAAGATGAGCTTCGATTCATCGACTGGGATGCTATCAGCAAGTGCCATTATTTCCCTTAAAAATCAAATAGCGTCTGCACTTGGTCTAAGTACTGATTCTCTCGAGTTCTGTTCTTATTATGACAGCTCATTTGAATTGATCTTCAGTTCCACGTATGTCCACTTCAAAGAGTCTCTCAATACTAATAGACTGATGTTCGTTCTGCAAAATATAGATCGATTTGCTTCTGGATTGAGGATTCAAGAAATAAAATTTGGAAATGAATCTTTTCAAGTACAAGTAAGCTTCAAATTGATTCAAAATGAAATTTATTTGTAATTTTAGGACATGTCCATTGCTCTTCCTTCCTCTGATTCAGATATGACTGTAGTTGATAGGATGTTTGGATCACTTGTAGTTAAGCTACTAAAGTCTATAGAATTCACAGAAGGAGCCTTTGATAAGCTAAAAGAGTTTATTTGTGAGCTAGTACCACAGCAAAACCTTGATCACGCAGCTCGCTCTTATCCATTGTTTAACACTAGCACTATCAACAAGATTGATGACCTCAAAAGCCTTATATTTTTTCTGAAAGATTATTGGTCTTTCTTTAATTTGTCTCTTCTAGAGAAGCTCATTGATAGGTTTGGGAGTGATGATGCAAAGGTTACACTGGTACACTACTTGGAAAAGTTGTGTAAGCTCTCGTTGTCAGAGGTGCCAATACTTCTTCATCATTTTCCCAGAGTAACAGGGTTTTCTTCAGATATTTTACTAGTTACTGCAAATCCAGACGCTTTTAGCAGCTTTATTGTTGAAAATATTTTTGCACTTCGTGATGATCTAGCTCATATTCTTCAACTTGAGCATTTTGCCCTTCTCTTACGACGAATCAACAAGTTCAAAAGTCAAATAGAATTTTTAGTGATAGATCACGATAATAAGCTTCGATTGAGATTAAGCCATCTAAATTTATGCTTATTCAATCAAACAAGTATAATGGGTATTGAATATCAAGAATTCAAACTTCAAAACATTGATTTTTGTCATTATAACAATGAAGGTATATATATTCTAATATACTATGATGATTGTTCTAATGTGCATATTCTATTTGGTGTAGGTGTGGAAAGGTTAAAATTACTTCCAGTTGGATCAGCACATCAAAACAATGGTTTGTGTAAACAATATTTTGTTATGGTGTCTATCACTATTCTTAACAGCTCAGATTCAAGGAAATGATACAATGGATGATGCTGATGATGGTACTTGGATGCACCATTTACATTAGATATTATTTTATTATTTCACACGTGTAGATGGGACTGATGAAACAAGTATAAACAAGTATGCTTCTAATGTAAAAGAAGATGAAATGACAGATGAATGGCCATTACTTTCAAAAGGTATATCCAAGGCCTAATATTTTTAATATTTTCTTCCTGCAGATCATGATTTTGGTTTTACAAAAAACTTCTCTTCTCATGGTAAGGAAAATACATTCATATTTTTATTATTTATTTATAACTAGTGCTTTCAAAGCAAGATCAAGATGAGCTTAAAGGTGCAAACTTTTTATTTGTTATGCATATCTAAAATCATCCCATTTTATGCATGTAGGTGTTCTTGAAGTATGCAGCGTGTGTCTGACAAACTCTAAAGATAATAGTTTGGTATCAATCAAGTGTTATTTTCCTGAAGTTCACTCTCCTTTGCAATTATCAACAGTGGCTCTAAGTCACACCAATGAGCTTGTTCCTATTAGGCCTCGTCCAATTGTTGCTGATAAGCACTCTTTTCAACTCTGTAACCCTAGACAATGCAAAGGAGAAAAGACCTGTATATTTGCTCATTCCAAAATTGAGTGCAATGCTTGGAATTTTGACCTGAAGAATTCAAAAAGTTAGTACAAATTTATTCTGATATTTGCATGTATCCATACATGCATATAGAAAAAAACCAAGTTCTACAGTACAGGTCTGAAGCTGAAAGTCTTCCTGCTAATCCTTGTGAAGAGAGAGTTCTGTGCAAATTAAATCGAAAGGAAAGAGAGGAATGGAAGATCAACTTTGCAGAAAGGGTATCAACAGTTCTTTGTGAAGAAAAAATTGCACAAGAGCTTTCGGCCTGTAATTATAAAGACAAATTTTATTATCTATTGTGCTTTGAGGAGTCTGAACGTATGGAATTTCTATCAAAAAAGTTAGTACATTTTTTATAATTTAGTTAACATTAGCAAATGATAAATCATCATAGTTTGACAATAAACCATGGAACATTATAACTGAATTGCATTTTTAATAATCATGTAAACTTAACCTATCCCTTTGTATAGATGTAATGGAAAGTATAGCATTCAGTGTTTTAAAAAAGTAATGGAGAAGTCTCAATACCTTTGTCGAATATTGGGAATGAATGATGATCAGGTTCAGTATGCTACACAAGCTAGCGAAGGAATCATTTTTGTCAAGAATAAAAAAGATCTCTGCAAGGGAACAATTCTCCATAGCAATTATGGTAACCTCAGTGAGCACTTTTACGTTTCTTTGGATGTAGATGATTTTCGATGTATTCAAGATGCATGTCGTCATCTTGGCTCAGGCTGGTACCAAGTGTATGTAGAGTTTGAAGTCAAGCATGCTTACTTTGATTCCCTTCATCAAGCAGTCATTGATATACCTGATTCAATGATCAAAAAGATTACTCCAAGTTCTGATGCTGCATCAAGTTTGTCCCCTACAGTGTCTTATAAAACGCATTGTCAATGCCACCACACATTTTTGTCTTTAGATGAAAATAAGCAATCAAAAGCTTTAGAAGCTATTCTCCAATGCCCTGCTAATTTTCCAGTTATTGTTTCTGGACCATTTGGTTCTGGAAAAACAAGAATCATAGCTCGTGCTGCTTATGAATTCATTCAGACTGGATTGATTGCTCACTCACCAACCCGGATACTTATTTGTGCTCACCATTCTGATACAGCTAAGACATATGTATCCAAATATCTTTATCCTGCATTTAATGGTGTGCCTAAAGTTAAAGTCATTCGCATTACAAGGCAAGATCGTTTTTTTCACACATCTCGTAACATCATTAATCGTACAGTCTATGACTTAAAACGAGAAATCTCACTTGGTCATCACATTAAAGATCAAGTTATAGTCATTGTTACTACATACATGACATCACTACACGTTGCCAAGATTTTTGGTGCTCATTTTACACATATTCTTCTCGATGAAGCTGCACAAGTCAGGGAACCAGAAGCAATTGCTCCTCTCTCTCTAGGAAATGCTGCTACTAAAATTATTGCAACAGGAGACAGCAAACAGGTATTATGTAGATCTAGAATTTTATTTTAAGTAATTTTTTATATGCAGGTTGGACCATCTGATCTTGTTTTGGGGGATGACAGTAAGAAGCATGGTCTTGCTGTTTCATTATTCGAGCGTTTGGAAAAGAAATATAATCAGTTAGTTGGAGAACGTGGCTCCGATTACCTTAAATACTTAGCTGCAAATTATCGTTGTTGCCCTGAGATTGTAATGTTCTTATCTAACACAATTTACAAATATCCAATTACATGTGCTCCAGAGGCTTGCTCAGAGAGGCAGCATCCAGCAATATGCTACCCACTCGTATTTTACTGGTGTGATTTAGCACATACCAAGGGCATGCTATTAAAAGATATTATGGGGCTAGTTGCTGAAGCTGTTTTGAAACAAGTGCAACATTACTTTGTCAAATGGCCGCATGAATGGAGACATGTTAAACGAAGAGAAGTCTGCATTATGTCTCCTTTTAGAGCTCAGGTACTTTTAGTACAGTCATATAGATCTAGATTATTGTCATTTTTATATGTAATTGTAGTTAAATATTATTGAATCATATCTGAAGGATCTACGTGTCGGTGGTGGAATAACATATTTGCCAACATATTCAATTCAAGGTACATATATAATGCAACATTGCTAACTACCAAGTGCTTACAAATAGGTCATGAGTTTCAAGCTGTTATTCTCAGTACATTTGAACCACTGAAGAATGATGGTACAAGCAGTAATCCTACAAAGAGTCTAACAAATCCACACATTTTTAACACTGCAATTAGTCGTTCTAAATGTTTTGTTGTTGCTGTAGGTGATCCTTTCTCTCTGCTTAGAGCTGAAGAGCATTTTCCAGAGCGCTGTTGGAAGCATTATTTAAAGGAATGTCTAAATTACAACTCCTTGTTTTTTCCTGAGCACTTTGCACCAAAGATTAGAGAAGAATTAAAGCAAAAACTTGCAGAAGAGATTGATCTAGCTCGCTAAATAACTTGAGTTTTGTCTTGATTTGGTATTACATGTATAGCTAAATATTATCATTTTAAATGAATTCATCACTGGATGACTCAGGGTGGGGTCATAGATGCCATTATGTTATGATTGAATTTAATTGAATTTCAAGTCAAGATCAACGTATCAAGTACATAAAACACTGGGACGTCGTTGTTGAACTATTTAGAGGTCCTGTCTGGCCTCTGGACAGGTTCTGCTTATTTTAATGGAGCTATGGAGACGACTAATCAAACTCATTTAGGTAATTTAATTAAAAACTGTGCGCCCTAACCGCCTTTTTGACTAATTTTGTTCCGATTTGTTCTCTGGTTCTGTCATATAGGCTTAAATATTAGTGACTTGATTGATGTTATTGACTTATTAAATAAGTGTGGCTTTCAAGGAACAAAGTGGCAAGAGTTGGGACTGAGGCTAGGGCTACTGAAAGATACACTGGAAGCCATTGAAATGAAGCACCATGGAGACGTGTATCACTGTATGACTGAATCACTCTCCCATTGGCTACGTAGAGCTGATAATGTTGACAGTAGAGGAGGAGCCAACTTGGACTCACTGTCAGATGCTCTACAATCAATGAACAAGACTGCTGTCGCTGAGAAGTTAAGTGAGTCAATAGTCCCATGAGCCATGATGCCTCCCCCTTTTTGGTAATTGGCTGATTACTATGATTAGCTAATCACCAAAATGGTAGTGTCTGGCTCATGATAGCTTAATCCTTAATCTAACTATAATCATTGTATTTTTTGATATAGAACATCATGTCTTTCTTAATATCCTTAAAAATCGTTATACTGTCCTCTTTCAGTCTCTTTGTGATTCTGTTAGCATTGCTTGGTCACTTTATGCTGAACGTATGTTAACACAAGAAGCAGTTAGTAGAGTGGTGTCAGCTAGTCCCTCTATTCCTAATCAACGTGAGGCTTTATTAACTGCTGTCAGAGAAGCTGTCCACACTGATTCTAACAGTTTACGTACATTTGCTAATGTATTGTGTACAATAAGTACTAATGTATCACTAGGACAAGCTCTACTGGATGATATCAGTAAGTATGATGTATCTGAAAATGTAATAAAAATTAGGGATGATTGCTAAGCCAATTTTAATTTAGGGATGATTTCTAACTCAATTTTTTAATTTTATACTTATAAAATATCCATACCTCAAAAGTTCTAATATGGAGTTTTGTATTCAATAAAAAAACAAGGCTATTCTGTGTATTTTTTTTAATTTATGGCATAAGGACATTAATGATAATATTATGTTAAGGCTCAAATTGTAATGATGTTGTTTATCATCACAACTATTTGTTTTGTTATTGTGTGTTTAGGTAAGTATTTTCCTATTCCTGAAGTAGCTGTGGTTCCTGAGACTATTAAAGATAGTGATTTACTTGTAGCTCCACAAGGTACATTAATAATTACCACACACTCTGGTGCATAAACATACCATACAATATGAAAAGGTTTATTTTTGCAATTTGTAAATACATAGCAAAATATTTAAATCCAAAGTTTGCACAATGCAGTACCTGTCAAAACAACAAATGAAGTTATTTTAAAGATTTCTCCACAAATTGCAGTAGCAACAAAATCACTGCATTATTTATTTAATTTATAGACACATCTTCTGATAGTGAAGCTGCTAGTAATTCCTTCTCCCAACCTTTATCACCTCAAGGTATGTTACATTCTATATAGACACAATACAGTGTAGCGGTAATTTTTAAGGGTTCCATACATGTATTTTAGTAGTTAATTTTTATATGTAGTACAAATACTTACATGTATGGCTGACAGTTAATAAACCCTGTTGTCTTTTCACTTTGGTCTACAGTATTAGCTTCTAATACATGGCTTATAGTGGAAATGTAGTAGTAAACTATGATTCTGGCTTAATTCTCCACTGGCTTGAAATAGTAGTCAAAAGTGTCATGATAACTGTGCATGCCCGTTAAATAGTTTCCATGTGTACAGGGGTTAAAATTGTGAATTGGTGATGCATCACAAATTTATAAAAAATTAATGCCCGACAAAAATTACCAACCATACGGTAATATTTTTTATAGTTGAAGTACATGTTCCTGTGTCAAAAGGCTTACTGGCAGACTTCACCTCGATGAGAATGTCTTATGGAAGAATGTTTTACAATGTTGGCAAGATTATTAAACAAAAATCTCTTTCGTTAGAAGAAATAAAGGAATTTTTGTCTTGTTGTAGCACAGTTCTTGGTAATAAAGTTGAGCAATGTTCTGACATTTCTAGTGTCTTGCGTCTTATTCGTAATGAGTGTTCACTGACTGATATTGAGCTCCTTCATACTGTAGTGGAAGAAATGGATATTACTGAAGCTGCAAGATACATCGAGGTGTATAGAACAGAGCTAAAGGAATTCTGCAAGTCACTTTCCATTAGTCTTTGTTTGAAGGAAAGATTTTCTTCCATTCCTCATCTTCAATGCGAAACAGTTACTTTAATTTTTGACTGGGAGCCCGAGGAACATGTGCTGAAGGATATTAAGGATATACTATCAAAAGTATCCGGTAAACTACTGATTATTAAGTATATTGAAACCTCCACTTCAATATCTGTCACTTGCACCTTTCCTTTCTCTGATGTTGGGTTTACTGTATTGAGAATGATAGAGAATATTCATATACTAATGGGACAAGGATTAAAGAAACTGACTATTGGTAACTTAGCATTATGGAGGAGACAAGATGTTAGAAAAAAGGTACACATACAGTCATACACAATATAAATAAATGTAGTTAATTGTTGTTAATATGGTTTGGTAATTCGGTATAGGAACTAAAGGAAAAGGATCAAGACTTACTGCAAAATACAGAGGTCAGAAAATATTCATTTTATAGTTAGATAGACATCATATAATGTGTCATGTACAATGTGTGAAATTTATTTGTTAATTTAATCATTTCAGGTTATTTCTCATATTATACTTAAAGAAGTTGAATATAGACTAAGAGATGCTGTCAGTAGTCAAGAGAAGGTATGTTATGTTACCATGTTGATGATTCCTATACTTTCTCTTTGTACATTATAATAGAAAACAATTGAATTGAAACAAGAAATATCAATGATGACAGTTTCAACAGTACCTGAGGTTAGCTGGTATGCTATTATCGTGTACTGTATAGCTTGAAACTATTGAGGAATTAAACTTTCAATTTGCCCAAAAATTATTTTTATTATTATTCGTATTTTTTCTGATGCAAAATACATGTCCTTATGTTGTATAGAAAGTTTGAGCGGATTAATATTGAATTTTTTATGAATTTTAAGTTCCTCCAACTGCCATGCACAATGTACATGTATACCGGTACTACATGTACATGTATATCAAATAACAGTTAGATGTAATAAAAAATAATTGCTTGTTTAACAACAACAACAAGGACAATAATAATAATGATAATAATGCCCGGCAGCCCTCTCTTTCATCCCACATTGACGGTTCCCTTTAAGGGATTCTTTGTCTCAGTTGTTTTCTTTTGTTGTTGTTGTTATTGTTGCTTTTTGTTTTTGTTTGTTTGTTTTTTGTGTCTTTCTACCACCATTTGATGATGATAATAATAATAATAATAATAATAATAATAATAATAATAATAATAATAATAATAGTAGTAATAAATTAGTAATAATGAAAATGCAAAACAACTGACTAACTAAAGACTGAGCAATAGTGCATTAAACTCTAAGTCACTGATAAAACCCATCGAATGGAAAATGGGTGGATTGGTAAGCTTGTTGTAACAGATTATAACCTACATGTACATGTATATGGTCAGGGAGTTAAATTTGGTGAATCGCTAAATTTTGGTGATTGGTGATTTGTTGAATTTGTGGCCATGTGCCATTGAGCATGCACATAATGGCTCAAAATGGCAGATTTTTATTTTGGTGAATGGTTTATCGAAACACCAAATTCGCCAAATTTAGTTACCTATAAAATTTCCGTCTATACAATAAGTCCCTCAAAAGTTTTCAGAAGTCAAAAAGCTAAAAAGTACATGTAATTTTTAATTGGCCAGGCATGCTACTGTGTGCTTGGATATTTGCAAAAACATGTATTTGATTAATATTTTAATTTAGGAAGCATCATTGTATGTCCAGAGTGATAAAGAGTGCACTGTATTGAGGTCTCAGTTTAATGAGAGAAAAGAAGAAAACCAAGAATTGTCAGAAAAACTATCAAAAATGAAGATTGATTATTTGAGAACACTTTCTAGTAATACTGGCTCAGGTTAGAGTATAGTTTTTATTAATTGTTTAGTTATTATACTTAATTAAAGCTGCTAGCAAACTAAGAAGAGGAATGGCTCTTGAAATTGATGACTGCAAATTTTGTTTTGAAGCCATGAAAACTCCACACTATCAGCCATTGGTAGATAATGAAAAAATAATAGAGAATTTACAAGAAAGAATAACATTAATGAATATGCAGCTAATTACTAAAAGAGAAGACAATGAGAAGATTATCAAAGTTATCAAAGGTTTTATTGATGATGTACATATATGGCATCCACTCGTCATTTGATTCTTAATGTTTTAATAGATTTGAAAAAGGTTGATCAGAGACTGAAAGAAAAGGAACAGGATATTGAAAAAGAAATGAAAATAAAAGTAAGGCAAAAAATATATGTGCATGTACATGTACCTTTTCTATTTTATAGTTCATATTATCTTGTAATCATCCTGTTACTGGTAAATTAACAAATTCATTCCTTAAAATACATAAAGATGAACTACTACCCATAGTACTGGATAAAGCTTACAAGGTTTATTTTTAGTCAATTTCATTTCTCATTTTGTTTCTCATCTCTTTTTTAGTTAATGAAATTAGCTCCTCATATTCCTATTAAGAGATGTCGTTTAGTGAAATATGATTATTCTTTTGATGTAATGGAACAGTCCTTTGATATTGATGAAGTAAGCTTTATACATATCCTTCAGTTATCTTATTATTATACATAGTTTCAGCATCAAACTATTCTACAGCTTATGGGTATGGATGGGTATTATGATTTATTCTTAGAAACTCGTAAAGAAACAGAAACATTTAAAAAATACAATAATGGAGGTGGGTCACTGTAGGTGTGATTAGTTGCCATGATAATGCCTCTAATTACATGTGTTTGTTTGTGTTTGATGGTGTAGGCATTAAATTAAAGATATCAGTGGTTGATGTGTCCACTGGTGAAGTAGGACCAGTTAAACCAATGAGAGGTGAAATGGGCTGGACTATTGAGGAATTAAAACAGTATATTGGTGAAGTAAGAGGAAGTATAATACTGTGATTACTGTCATTGTCATTTACATGTATATTGTTCCCTTTTTCATCCACATTTTCCTTGTTCCTGTCTCCCTTAAACTGCTCCCTTTCTTTCTATAGGTATTTGATCTTAATTCATCTTGTATGAGATTAGTACAGGTGTATGGTTATCAGGACATTACTTCAATTTGTGAAGTTACATGTAGAAAATTAAAAAGTACTATTGAGAATATACTCCATGGAAACAGATCTAGTTCTTACAGACAAGTACTAGCTACCATAGCATTGATACTGTAATGAGATGTTGGTATGGATGTCATGCAAAGCAATATTTTAAAATTGGCTATTTTCCCAAACATTAATATTTTATTTTATGCTGCAGCTGTATCATGATTAATTTAGTGTCATTTACATATGTATTCATTTTTCATCCGTTTACTGTCTGCACACACACAACTTATTATTCTCTCCTTTCTACCTAGTTTTATGTATCATCAGATCCTGAAGATTGTGAAAAAGAATTTGAAGATAGTTTGATGTACAAATATGTTGATTATTACATCAACTGGGTACAACTAAACATAACATTACCTCCACAACCTGAAGTCACTTCCACTACAAGTAATAGGAGAGAAGGAGAAATAATAATGAAGATTGTATCAATGAATGAAGAAAAGAAAGGAAAAGAAAGAAGTAAGAATTTTAACATCATAAAAAACATTACATTATTCTGTACAGAGGTACTGGTAGAAGTTGACAGGAGAATAACATTAGCTCAATTGAAAGAGGAGCTTGTTCCACTGATTGGTGTACCACCTACTGGTTTCATAGTGTATAGAATCAGTGGTTTTAAAGCAAATGAAATGAAGGAGCTGGATGGAACATTAAAAGATATTACATCTGGATCAGAGGTATAGTTTTATGTGCTACTTCTCTCTCTCTCTCTCTCTCTCTCTCTCTCTCCCTCCCTCCCTTATTTTAAAGTTTAAATTATAATATTTTTATTTATATTTCATTCCATTATTTGGTCTCCTAGTTGATAGTAAGACTACTTGTAGGTAGACCAGCACAAGAAGGAGGCTACTGCAAAATTAAATTATATTTATTGCAAGTTAACAATACAGAGGTATGAGTATTTCATTACTATAATTTTGTACTATGGTCTATTTGTAGTTTTGTAATTTTATGATGGAGTCTATTGTTCCTAAGAATACACCAGTAAGAGAATTTAAGAAACGAATTATTGAAGAAGTAAAAGTACAAGGAATTGACTGTATTCTTGAATTAGACAAGTAAGTGCATCATCATCATGTGATCATCATGTGACTATCATGTGACTTCTTATGTAGAATGAGATTACGGGAGAAGTGGGGAGTGTCCGCCCGTGTCCTATATCTTGATGATCAGTTGATTCATGCTAGCAGGAGCATATATGTGGAACTATTGAAACGTCAGTATATCTGACTTTTTATTGTACATAGTACCATGAAGCGGGTTATTTTCGTGGGTTTAAATTTCATGGTTTGCTCCTAGTGGGGCAATTTGTGGTTTAATTTTTGTGGTTGACAGTTTACATAGCCTGTAAGGGGATGGCACTTCAATGATTTTGTGGGTTTAAATATTGTGGGAAGACCCAAAACCACGAAAATCACGAAAATTACCCGCTATACGGTATACTGTACTAAATTTACTTTAAGCAATATGCATGTACACTACACGTACACGACTACACGTGCATGTATTTATAATTATTTTATATTTTATTAGGGCCAGAGAAGAAGTATGGTAGACAAAGACAGGTGTATGTTATTAGGTGGCGTCCATCACAATGTTCAGTTGATCCAACAGAAGAAATTATAGTGGATAATAATTATGATTCTAAGCATGTTATTGAAAAGGTAATTCATGGAATACATGTGATTTTACTGATTACTGTATGTGTCGTTAATTTTGAGTGTTTAAATTTTGTGGATTTGCTGAGCTAAAAAAGAACAATTTTATGGGTATGAAATTTCACGATAGTTCTGTTTATAATGCTGATGTGCATGTATGTTGTACACATGTTTGCATGTACTTGAGAGTAGTATGATAAAAATAGTTTCTGTGGTTTGAGAATATCAAACAGTATCAAGACGGCAATGCTCCGTTTATCAGTTTCGCTTTAAATTGTGATGACTTGCTTGCATGATACTGTAGTCTTGCAATCTCAATTACATTATAGCTTGTTTATTTTGTGGCTTTAAATGTTTCTTTTTTTAATTATTTATTTTTTTGGTTTACAAAATTTTGTTAAATTTTTATTTGATGTTAATAAAATTTAGTAGAATTAATTTGTAGATTTGAGCCTGCACAAAAACTAATTTCACACAAAATAAACCAGCTATGCAGTAATTAATTTACCACACTCTATTCATCATGAATATTAGTGAGCCTGGTTGATTTCAAAATTTTGTAGCCACCTACATGTAAATATAAATAAATATCCTGAAATATTGTAGACAATGTACAAATGATTACATATGAGAATGGAATCATTTTTTTTTGGTTCTTTTACATGTAGCTGTCAGACTTGAGTGGAATTTCTGCTGAGTATATCACTTATGCAAAGGTATGATAATTAATATTAAACTTAAAGGCACTTTCTTCTATCCTCTCACTCTCTCTCTCTCTCTCTCTCTCTCTCTCTCTCTCTCTTTCTCCCTCTCTCTCTCTCTCTCCCTCTCTCTCTCTCTCTCTCTCTCTCTCCTTAGAGTACATCATTCCCAACTAAAATATCTTGTCTTAACATTGAAAATCATTTGGAATGGAGATATTCACTCAGACTGAAGCAGCACCTTTTATTATATGATGGATGTGTCATATATTACAAGTGATTAAAACTATAATGCTCCTAACAACATTTGCAGTGACACCTCTTACTGTTTTAATTATTTAGAGACAACAGAGAGAAGATGAAAGAGCTAACAGATAAAGAGATATCAGAAATACAAGAAGCTGAAGAAGCAAGGTCAGTCATTATAACAGAATTTGCCCATTGCAATTATTATTGATGGTGGCGGTTTTATTTTGATCTGCCAATCTGCCAAATTTTCCAGCTATATGATATTTCAATAATATTGATGCCTGTCAACCCTAAATTAATTAATAATTATCTACTCTTGATGCCTGTATTCTGGTGTCTATCTGTGGTAATAGTTAGTACCAATACACATGTATACTCATATATTATATTGTAGGTTAAAGAAAATTAGAGAATACACATTATGAACATGACCATTGATTCTCAGAATGGATTGGCTTGATTTTGGTGTCATATTAATTTTTGTTTTTTTAATATGAAATTTAAAGATATTGAGCTCCACAAAAATTATTCACTCTGTAGCATCAAGAGTAGATAATCTACTCTAGGTAGCATTAATTTTAAAAATCTACACTGTCAACTTATAATACAATTTTGTATTTGGAATGAGGGAGTAAAGCCAATGTGTTGCCTCATATTAAATTTTAGTTCTGCAAGCCCCAGCCTACTACTGTCATTTGGATGGATTTACATTGAACTAATTTATAGGTACAAGTGTTCCTTTGATATAGCAAACTGATTATGTTAATTGAGTTCTTTGTCCTACCTAAGAAATATGAAAGGATTGGCACAAGATCTAGTTTAGGGTGTAGATCTGTATCTGTTTTATCATAGGTGAGTTAGCATGATGTTGCACTGAAGATATCAAAAAGTAATAATTTCTAGATCTACTTCTGATAGTGTTACACATTTTCCTCTCACTTCCAACTCTCTCTATTCTCATAATGTTGTATTTGTGCCTGTTTCTGTTTATTGTAAACTAAATCTTTTCTAAAAAAATATTAATTCTAGCTAATGATGGGTATTCTCTCTTTCCCCTAAGTTGCTAATAAACATCTGGCGATTACACTAATTAATGATCATAATTTTCTTATTATTCTCAAATACATGATCTCATTAGGAGATTGTTTGTTCCTAATCTGGGAAGCCGTGATAGAGTCAATGATAAAACTATTTCATTGAGTTAAGTATGTTATAAAGAGGGAATGGAATGAAAGAGAGAAAAAATTAAAATTTATTGTGTATCCACCTCCCCCTTTATAGCCCAGTTTGGCATTCAAAGGCCTTTTCACACCGCTAAAAGTAGCTAATGTGCATTAATTGTGTTCACACTAGGGTGGTGTGAATATTTAGTTATATCAACCAAGTACATTGAAGTGCATCAAAAATTGTCCCGGTGTCAAAAGGCCTTTAGTTGACAACTTCCTATAGTGAGATTAGTCAGCCTGTTCAAATATTAAGTTTATACCATAAAAAACAAAAAAAACAAAATTTCTCAAAAAATTATTGCATACAAAATCTTTAAACAGTGGGCTTAACAGCTATTAAGTATAAATATTAACATTAAAATCAAATATTTAAATCAAATCCCAGTTCATTTTTAATAGCTTCAATCCAGTCCTCAGTTAAAGCTATTGCTGCATTGGCACAACTGCCTCTTACAGCAATGAATGAGCTTAAGAACTTTTGACAGTGCTCCTGCACTTGAGGTAGCTTTCTCATAAAGCTAAGACTAGCCTTGAACTCAGTGATGAACGTGTCCATTGAGCGAGTTTCTTTCACTTCATCACTAATGAGACCAGCTGTATATAACTGACTAGCAAGATCTGAGAGAGACGTCTTAAGAGACGTAAGAGAAGCATGGTGAGACACTAGAACATTATTGATGACTTTCTTAACTCTCTTAACATCAACCTGTACTGGTACACCTAATAGAGGTCAAAGGTCAATATAACCCAATACACAAACCATGTATAGTTGCGTACACACATATACACACTGTTACCAAGAGTGAATAATTATCCACTCTTGATGTTACTTACTAGCTCCTCCATTGGATGATATTGGAGTAACTTCAGTAATTGTATTAGAGGAGGAGGACGAGGTACTAGGATCTGATTAACATTAGAATAAATAAACAAATGAAATGATTTATCTAATACTTGTTGTTCTCAGTGATCTATGAATATATAGTGTAAAAGGACGAGCAACACCTTCCAGTGGTATGGAGTAGTGCAGTATAGGAACAGCATGAGGTGATCCATACACTGAAATTGGACAAGATGGAGGAAGAGGATAATCTTCATCACCAAAATTATTAATATCATCTTGATATAGCTAATAAACGAAGTAATGATAATCATATTATTACAATGCCACAAAAATCTTAACATGCATAACACAACATGCTTTATAAACTAAAACATGTATGCATGTACCATGGCATGTATAAGGTAACATACCCTGCAAGGTTCTATCTGAGGTTCAATAGTCCATCCTTCATATGACTTCTTTTGTGGAGTATTTAAATTTAGTTCAACAAAACCATCAGGAGAAGCAATATGAAAGCAAATATTAAGTCCTCGTTTAGCTTGTGGGCATTCTTTCTTAATGTGCTGTAATAATAAACCAGTAATCATTTTATTTATGACATAGATACCTCAAGGAGAGCATTTAATTTCTTAGCTGCAGTGAATGTCACTAGATCCTCTACACCTTTCTCCTCATAATACAATAGTCCAGCATAGTTAATAGCCTCTTTTACACTAGTGGAGTGTACTTCTAGTAATATAACACAGTACTACTGTTAAAAACTGTTAATACGAGGGTACACTTACCATCTTTATAATCAGACCCTGTACTTGGTTTAGTCAATACTTCAGTTTTATTCTTACTCTCAATGAGTGCTTGTATTGAAGGAATATGACCAGCTATTAACCTTGTGCTGCTATTCTCATTAATTTGCTCTTTACCCTTTTCTTCAATTTTCTTCTTTACAATAGACACTATTAGCAGAATAGATGGCTATTATCATTACTTTATACATACTGACCTTTACTAGCTTCTGTAGTAATGTTAGCCTTATTAGAGTCACTAGAGGAATCACTAGAAGAATCATCATCCTCTCCTTCATCCTCATCTTCCTCTTTATGCTCCTCTTCCTCCTCTCCTTCCTGTTTCTGTTGGACCTCCTCTTCTTCTTCATGTTGGAACTGTCCCTTCTCCTCACCCTCCTCTTTCTCCTGCTGCTTCACTTCCTCATCTTCAATTTGCTGCACTTCTTCCTCTTCCTCCTCATTATTAGTTTCTTGTTGTGGTTGCTGTTCCTCCTCTCCTTCCTCTGTGTCTCCATTAACTGATGCTATAGGAAGACCATTACCTCCTTCATTAGTTGATTCTTTGCCCAGTATACACACTAAACAGAAATTTTTGCGTTTAATGGATCCATACCAACTATCACTCCTAAATTCTCCTCCCTCTACTAATGTGAACTGGTAAGGAAGACTGGGTGTGTTCACAGGAGCTATTGCAAACTTTAAGTATCCTCCAAGATCTGGTCGTCCTGCTAAATCAATGCAGTGCTGTATCTCTAGTTGTAGTGGCTTCAGTAGAGGCTTTGAGAGTGATACTGCATACACAGCACTGACTAGGACAGTATTAGGAGGAAACTGAAACTGTCCTCCTACAAGAGCGACCACTGCTGCTTCTACTGTCTCAGAGGACAGTAAGCTGTCTTCTTGTACTCCAATCCTTAGACCATATTTCTCCCAATTCATCAGTTGTGGCTTATCTCCTTGAATTAAAAACAGCTTCTTCTCTGTTATCTGGACATCACTCAGACATTCCAAATTATCTATCGATTGTATAAAACACACAGTCACACACATAATAACACTACTGGACTAGTACATAATGTAGCACAACAAAAAAGTTTTATAAATCTAACGCAATCCAAGTGCATGTGTTATAACAGGGATTCCCACAAAGCATGCTAAGTGAGCCAACAGCATACTTTATGAGCTAACAAGCACTACAATAATACATCTAGCTATCTGATCAAGAATCAAATTTTGATCAGAATCAGCTCTAACTTGCTACAAAACATACATGCAAGAAAATGTGTTATGTATCAGAAAAAAAGTAAAAAATGGATATTTCTCTCTTAGCCATTTTTGGCAAAATTTGGCCAAAGATCCTGTAGAAGTACAGGGGCTTTGGTTTATTTTTGAGAAACTTTAAAATTAAAAAAATTAATTTGATCAGAAGCAGCTGCCTTAAACTTGTATATTCATCACAAAAATTATAGAAATGAAGAAGTCTTTCCTAGTAAACCCTGTACAGGAACTTTGGCCTAATTTTTGAGCATAACTTCAAGAACATGCATATGCATTACAAAAATATAAAAATAAAAAAGTCTCCCTAAGCTATTACAAAACATGATACCCTGCATAGTATATGTATAATGGTACATGTATTATGTCAAATTTTTGAGCCACTGTACAATCCACTGACAAGAAGCTGTATGATCTAGCTATGCCAAAAACCCTGTGTTATAACCAGTGCTTTTTATAATAGTGCACCTATATACATGTTGTAGGTCAGAAATTATTAATCAATATTGTAAAAAATTAAAATTATATTTAAAAATTTAATTGATGTATTTTTTCAGGTGTCCATAAACTCAAACAATTATTTGAGCAGAACATGTCAAAGTTTAAGCTGTTAAGCATAGGACAAGAACATCAAGTTTAAGAGTAATTAAATTCAATTGCAAATATACAGTACATACAAACATGTACATGTATTTAGAATTTATTCTACTTGCACAATTCTGTTGGCACCAACCATCAATAATACTAGTAGCATATCTCTTACCCATTGATGGTATTAAGTAGTTGAACTGAACTTCAACAGAACTAGTCTCTTTGATTGATTGTTCCTCTAGGAATGAGATCCTCTCCTGTTGTTCTGATTTCTTTTTCAATAGTTTAGATATATATGCATCTTTTTCAAATACTGTAGTCTTGAAATCATCTACATAAAGACATACAGTATGTATTCTCTCATTTAATACATGCTGTGTATTATTGACTCACCAATCTTTGCCTTTGGTTGTTCTTCTACTTGTTTCTTCTCTTTCAATAGTTCAGTTATGCAATCAGTAAGTTCAGCTTTACGAACTAAAATTTAAAAATATGTTTCCATGAGGTAATTTAGGATGATATACTGACTGTATTAGGTCATGCATCAAGATACCAGATTCATAAAAATTTGGAGCCACAGTTTTTATTCATATGCTGTCCACACATTTTTTATAAAAATGCCTAAAATATCAGGCTATAATGGTAATAAGCTCTATGCTCTCTTCTACATAAATAGTTACTAATAAATATTGAAAAAATTATGTGCATGTAGGCATTATATATTACAATAATTACACACCAGGTGTCAAAATGTAGGAAAAAATGAGCCCATGCAACTAAAATTTAATTTCTAACCTAATTTAC